CAATGTTGGCCTTAACTCTAACATGGGAGGGATGCTGAAGGAGTTACAGATGACCACGGCAGTTCACCTCTTCAGCCCAAGGAGATGGTCGTTGTCAGTTGGGTTAAATGCAACAAAAACCAGGCCACAGAAAGACCACATCTTACTGGAAGTCATGGCAAACCAAAAGCTTTATACTCAGCAGTGCAGAACTGACTCCCAATACATTGTGACCTATACTCAAGTAAACTCTGGCTCGTTGACAGGGACTTTCCACTGTGGTTTTAGCAGTTACTGTATTGGAAAGACCCTTGGGATATGGGAAGTTGGCTTCTTAGACTAGAAACCTTCTCTGAAAGCAATGACATGCCTACACGCTCTGGATGGAATCCAGCAGGATCTGGGGCAGGGACAAGAAATCCCCCTAGTCTCGAGCACCTAGGGAGCAACCCCAGCTTCTACATAAGCATTTGGTGGACACAGAAAGGATGTCAGGGTTAGGTCTGGTGTGTGGCAGGAGAAACACACAGCACATAGGGTGCACCACCAGGTCACTCCCAGTGGGGTGGGATGCCAGGCAGAGGGATGAGCCTAACCCAGTTCCAACAGTGTGGAAGAGCTTACTCAGAGAGGGACGTGTTGTTGTAGCCACGGCTCTGAAAGAGGAGGGATCTGGGCTGGTCAACAAGCTGGATAAAATGAGAATTACCCAGCCTTATAGCGCAAAAAAAGCAGGCTTGAGAGGATGAAGACTCTGTAAGGTGATAGTAAATAACACCACCCCACTGAAGAGCCATCCCTGAGAGACCTGTCCCATTGCCACCACCACCCTGGAAGGGTCAGCAATCTGTAGAGTCTAGAAGGAAGCCCTTACACCAGTGCTGGACACTGACCTCCTCCCCTCGCATGCAGAGTGACAGGAGAGGGGACACTCGTCCATGATCCACCCTTCTCCCCCCCTTCTCCTCCTGGACACCTGGATTGGCTTCATTCCTCTTAAGGAACCTACTGTCTGAACAAATCCATGTGTGAGCTGGTCCCTCTGAGCTCTTTGTAGGACTGACAGGGAAAGGACACAGGTACCCTCAGATGGAAATTATCCAGCCTTCTCTAGACCTCTACACTGAGACACAACAAATCATGCCCTAACATGCCCATTGTCTCCCCTATGACAGGAAGCCCAAGTGACCAGCCCATGCACAGGTACCACACGATCTCTGCACTGAATTGCTAAGGGCTGACTTGAAAATACTTGTCAACGAGCAGAAGTCCCAAGGAGAGTGGGCAGAAACACCTATTAGGTGCCTAAATTCAGGTGGGATCCCAGCACAGTCAGGAATCCCACCACTGCTAAGCCTGTTTGGATAAAGTCAGGAAAACAGTGGTGCTAAGAGGAACATGATCAACTTACAGACTCTGCCTAAGGAGCTGTTCCCTTGTTTCTCATCCAACAAGGAAGCTGGATGACAACTGTAGCCAGAAGAGAAACAAGCAGTTTATTGTAACTCCAAGCATATGACAAAAAGGGTCAAAAAATCATTGAGGAAACAATAGAAGGAGATGAGCTGCAAGGCAATTAAGACACCAACCAAATAATATCAGTGCTGTCTCCTAAGTTCATCCCATAGCACCAGTAAAGCCCAGTTCACCTTTTGAAAGTGCCACATGATTTCTACCTCCTAAAACACAAAACAAAGAGCTGCTGCCCAGCGAAAGCAGAGCCACACTGTGCAGGCCCATCTTGAAGGCACGACTCCAGCAAACTGAGAGCTAAAACCTGCAAGAAGCCAGTCCACAAACCACTTGGGATGTGTCCCAAAACTCTCTTGATCGTGTCTAGCAGCATTCACAGCATGTCCCCATGACAGGCAGACTCCTATACCCTTTGTGAGCTACACCAGCTTCACAGGGAGGATGAGGGATATCTTGTAGGACCTGACCCCTTGGGTTGTTTTCTCTCTTAAGAGTAGAGTTTGCCAAAGGCTTCCAGTCTGAAGACTGTATCTATGACCAGGGCATTTGGCTGCAACATATCCAAGCCTGAAAGCCTTTCCAAGCATCTGCCAAAGGGAGTAAAAGCAAAATGCACTGACTCAGCCCTCGCAGTGATGTCTGCATGATGCCAAGATGATTACATGGTCTCCTCCACAAACCAGCTGAGGTGAAAACGAGGAGGATGATGAAGGCTGGCTCTGCATCTGAGCTGCGCCTTTGAAATGCAGCAGACAACTGATCCTCCCTGGCATCCATCAAAACCCAGATATTATGAATGGGGAACACTTATCTTCAAAAGATTATTTTCTTCCAAAGTCACTTTTTGGCAGCACTCAGGTGAATCAGTGCCCAGATCCAACTACAGACTCCTACGGGTAAGGAGAGATGAAGAGGTTACAGCTCACGAGCTGAGCCAAAGCAATGACTTCATGAGCTCCCAGCCACGGAGCTTTCAAAACAAAGCCTATTTACCAGTGAAAACAAGCGCCCCAGAGGGGCTTTGAAAAGATGGGGCTGGAGGAAGCTTCAGGCACCAGTTGTCCCGAAGGAATTGTGCCCAGTGCGGGAGCAGAGCCGGGTTCACCTGCCCTTGCATGTCCACGAGATGGCAGAGCATGCCATGCCGAGAGCCGGCCAACAGCATCTCCGGGATGCAGGAATTCTCCAGTTTCAAAACAAAAGGCTGGCGACAAGCCTTTTTCCCTCAGACAGCTATGAAGAAAGAGGGTTTGGGGGGAGGTTGTCTTGGGTTTTGGTTATTTTTTCATCTTTTAATTGCCAAACAGTCACAGGCGTTCCTTGCAATCTTTTGTTGAAATGCTATTGATAGATTCCAGCAGCAAAACCCATGGATCTGTATTAACGTGCAGATAGCCAGAATATTCTGCTTAACCCATTAGTGGTGCCACTGTATTTCACTGTGTACATATATACAGTCACTGTATACCACTGTATATATTCACACACCGACTATATACTGGAAATCAGCTCTAGAATCATGTTCCAAGCCTATCATACCTTACTGTCAAAAGAACCCAAATTTCTAAAGCAGCCTGAAATAAGACTCTCAAAATATTTTTCCATCTGAGCTATGCTGGGGGATGCTCGGACTGGCTGAGTTGAGCTGGAGTATCATAGAATCATGGAATGGTTTGTGTTAGAAGGGAAATTAAAGCTCATCCAGTTCCAACCCCCTGCCACAAGCAGGGACACCTTCCACTAGACCAGGTTGCTGAAGCCCCATCCAGGACTGGTCCAGCCCCTCCATACATGTACAGCTGCTGTAAGCAACTCATGAACTCTTAAACACAGACAGAACAAGAGTTTCTGTATCTCCAAACCGAAAAGCACCTTTTCCAGGATATGACACAAACATAACTGCAGTGGAAGGTGAAGGATTTTTCTTCCATAGTCTCCTATGAATATTTTCCCTTATGCATCCATGAACCGTGCCCCATAGAGCCCCTTAAAAGAAGGGATAAAACCCAGCAAAATCACTGCTGGCACTGCAGGATAGAGTTCAAATCTGGTTAACAAAGACACGTCAGGATTAAACCAGTTATCTGCAAGTATTTCACTTGTCAACGCTGCACAAGATAAATCCTCACCCAGAACTACCCAGCCTCTGATTCCCACGACACACGTGTGACTTTATATGCCTAGGTAAGTGCGTCTCCAAAATAATGCAGCATTGCATGAGTCTGCCCAGAGGCACAAACAGAACACCAAATCCAGCATTCCCACTTCCAGCCTTGAGATGTCACACTATCAATTCAGCTAGATATTAAGGTATATACTGGAATGAATCCACTGGAGTCATTGGATTCAACCTGGTGTTAGGACAGGATGAGATGACAGGAGGACCCGGCTTATTTAATAGCTGTTGATTAGAAAATACGTTAAACCCTAGAGAAGAAAGTCAGCTCCTCGCACCAAAGATGGTCTGATTCCTTATTTCCAATTATTTCCCATGGAAAATAAACTTATTTTTCAGAATTACTGGGTTCTGTACCAACTGAACTTAATGTTTTCTCCCTGTGACCTAAAGTCCAGACATACCAAGCATAGAAGAGACTGAGCAGAAAGCAGCTGCAGGCAGTGCTCCTCCCTGCCAAAGTCAGCAGCACTTCTCCACTGGTTCGAGTATTTACTGCCAGCTAGCTCACCCAAAAGAAACAGTAAGGCAGATCATCACATGGTTTGCAGAATGGCCAAAGCTCTTCCTCACATGATGCACGAGCAAGAAGCCTGGCGATCTCTTTGCTCAGCACTGAAAAGGGTAAGGCTACCAGAGCACATGAGAT